AATGAATGAACAAATATTGAGATTTGCTGGAGAAAAACAAGATTTGGAATCTCTCAACAAAGAGCTTGAAAGAAGAGCTATAATTGCAGAAGCAGCACTGAAAAGGGCACGCCTTAATTATTCAATTGCTGTGGAACAATTACAAAAGGATCTTGAATTGCTCTCTTTCCAGGTTTTGTCTATGTTTGAGACTCATGAGAATCTCATCAAGAAAGGTTTTGTAGATTCCCAGCCGACAAGTTTTCAAATTTGCCCAGAGATGAGGCAGAATTGTCAGAAAATGGAGTCAGAGGAATCTCATTCCACCAAGCTCTTCCAATGCCAAAAGCAGTACGTTGGAATGAAGAAACAGCACTCAGGAGATATTCTTTCAGAGGACTTGAAGAGATCAATCCAGTTGCAGGAAGGCATTGACCAGAAGGTTGATGAAGAGGTCTGCGAAATGCATTATGTAAATATATATCTGGATATATATTCCAACACTCTAAAAGAAACTCTGCTTGAAGCAAGTTCTGGTGTCAGGTTTATGAAGAAGAGAATAGATGAGCTTATCTGGCAGCAGGAGCTATTAGCAGAGTCAAAGGAGTTACTTATTCAAAGGCTTCAAGCTGCTATGGATGATGTTCATTCCCTCAATGAGGAAAATGCCATCTGCATTGCCAAGTGTGAGGACATGGCTGTGCAGAAACAAATTTTAGAAGCAAATTTAGAAGATGTCACCCATGAAAACCATAGCATGAGAATGAAGATAAATGAACTGGAGCCATTGATAATGGAATACAGAAATTACAAGAGCAAATATGATGCTTGTGCTGTGGAGAAAACAGAATTGGCTAATCTATTGAAGGAGAAAGCTCAGGAAAATGGTCATCTTCTAAATGATATTTCTTCTCTTCAGGAAGACTTGAAAAAGATCAAAACTGAGTTTGATGATTTGATTGCTATGAAGGAGGATCTGCAGGATACTCTTGACTTTCTGCAAAATAGAATGTGGAACTTATTGTCATCATATGACATAAGTTTTGTTGGATTGTCTCTCTGGAGTGAATCTGTTGGTCAGTATTCGGAGTCTAATGATTTAACAGGGGTCCTTGTGCAGTTGGAAGGGATGCAGAATGCTGCATTTGAAAAGATTCTCCAACTCTTGAAGGAGAACAAAGATCTAGTTGATGAACGGGATAAGGCTCATGAGTCCTTAAGCATGATGGAATCTGATAAGTTGGTGATGAAACAGGATTTTGAGCATGATATGAAAAATATGGCTAATAAATTGGATGTCTACAATGTACTGTTCCAAAAGCATCAGTTAGAAATTGAAGCTGTTTCGGAAAAACTCAAGGTTAGCTCTGAAGTTGAAGAAAACCATGCACAGCAGCAGAAAGAACTTTTATCTGATCTTGAGCGTTTGGAAGTTGAACTGCAACAGCTTACTTCTAAAAACAAAGAGATCACTCAAGAAATCTTGGCGTTGGAGTCTGTCAATCAGGAACTGGAAAGTAGCAAGCTGACCATCTCTAAACTTGAAGAGGAAAACAAAATTTTGACAGAGTCTTTACAGGATAAAATTGAGGAATCATCCAAGCTCTCTTTTGAGCTTAATTGTTTGAAAGAAAGTTTGCAGTGCCTGCAAGATGAGTTGCTGACTGAGAGAAGCTCCAAAGATAAATTAGAGAGTATGGTGTTAGACCTTAATTCCCAAATGAATGAGAAGCATTGCCAATTGATGCATTTTGATCAGCAGAAATCAGAAGTGATCCATCTCAAGCAAATGGTATCTGAATTAGAATCAGAGAAATTGAGAGTTTGCCATCTTTTGCTGCAGTCTGAGGAATGCCTTAAAAATGCTCTTAAAGAATGTTCGTCTATTACCCTTCTTGAAGCTCAGCTGTCTGAAACACTTGAACTTTCGGTAGCTGCAGATGTTAGTCTCATTTTCATTCAAACTCAGTATGAGGCCTGGATAGAGGACCTTGTTGAGCAGCTTTACTTGTCCAAAAGCCACCTTGCTGAGCTCCAAAACAAGCATTTTCACATGGAAAGCATAGTGAATGATAGCCTTGCTCGTGAAGCGCACTACACTGTAGAAAATACAAAATTGTTAACAAGTCTCACCTTGCAGAAGTCAGAGTCAGAGGCTGCTGTTGTTGAAAATAAGAAACTTCTCAGTACAAATGGCAAGATTACAGCTGAGCTTGAGAAGTACAAAAATAGGATTGAAGAGATGGATTTTAATCACTGTGAGGAACAAAGGCAGCATGATCTTAAAATTGAAAGTCTAAAGAATTTGTTAGTAAGTTCTCAAGAAGAAATTGATGATCTGTTGGTATTGAAGGAAGAATTGGAAGTCAATCTTTTAGTACTCAAATCCAAACTGGATGAACAACATACAACGGTAAGCTTGTTGGAAGGGTATGGTGATAAGGTAATTTTGTTGCAAAACCAATGTAATGAGCTTTCTCAGAGGCTCTCTGAACAGATTACAAAGACAGAAGAGTTCAAAAATCTCTCTACTCATTTGAAGCAGCTTAAAGACAAGGCTGAAGAAGAGTGTGCTCAGGCTCGGGAGAAAAGGGAATCTGAAGGACCACCAACTGCCATGCAAGAGTCCTTGAGAATTGTATTTATGAAAGAACAGTATGAAACTAGGCTGCAAGAAATGAAACAGCAGTTAGCTGTCTCTAAAAAGCACAGTGAAGAGATTCTATGGAAATTACAAGATGCTATTGATGAAATTGAAAACAGGAAGAAATCTGAAGCTTCTCACTTGAAGAAAAATGAAGAGCTGGGACTGAAGATCTTGGAATTGGAGGTTGAGTTACAGGTAGTGACTTCTGATAAGCGTGAAAAGGTGAATGCTTATGACCGGATGAAGGCTGAATTGGAATGCTCAATGATAAGCCTAGAGTGCTGTAACGAGGAAAAACAGAAAGTTGAAGCTGCTTTGAAACAATGCATTGAAGAAAAGTCCAAACTTTCAGATGAAATTAATATTGCAAAGCAACAGCAGTTGGACCAAGAGTGTTCAATTAAGTGTGAAGAAGCGGAAAGCACAAGCTCAGTGTCTGTGGGTGAAGGTGACTGTTCCACTGCACTCACAAATTTACAATCTCAGGTAATTGGTAACGTGTTAGTCCAAAGATCCTCTATATTGTTATTTTTGTTAACAGCACCTTATTGTTTGCGACTATTAAAATTTTATTTTAGACTGTCCAATCTGCTTTTCTCTCTTAGTCTCTTTATGCTTTTTCTGTAAAGAAACAACTTTTTGTTAAATTATATGATGTAGTAAATTATTTATCACTGATAATAATTCGCCCAACCATTTGCAGGATCTTTTATCCAACGATGTAAATGGAATTCGAAGTCTTGCACTTATGAATCAAGAGAACTTGCTGAACAATGATGCAAAACATCTTGGTGTAGTCAGTGATCAATTTAGAACACAGAGTTTAAGGTCTAGCATGGACCATCTGAACAATGAGGTGTGACTATTTTTTAAGTGAAAGCTAATCTTCCTTTTTTGAGCTTGAGGAAGTATCATGAACTACTTTGTTGGGATCGTAACGGTGATCTAATTTGCTCTTATGTTGTGCTCATAGCTTGAAAGGATGAAAAATGAAAACTTGCTTCTTTCACGAGAAGATCATCAATTTGATTCAAAGTTTCCAGATTTACAAAGAGAATTGATGCTATTGCGAAAGGTGAACTAATTTGAACCTCATATTGCTGTACAACTACAAATAAATACCCTTCAACAAGGTCCTTACTTCGCTTGGTACAGGTGAATGAAGAATTGGGAGCCATATACCCTCTATTTAACGAATGTTCAGCAACTGGAAATGCAATGGAAAGGGTACTCTCATTGGAAATTGAGCTTGCTGAGGCATTACAAAACAAGAGGAAAACAAACATCAATTTTCAGAGGTAAGTCATTCCTGTCATTCATGTACAGGACATTATCAAATGATGTTTGAAATTAAAATTTTAGAAGTTCTTAGATACAGATTGCACACTTGGTTGGTGGGCCTTCTGAAATTTCCATTTCACCTATAGATGGATGAAGACAGTTCTCACCCTCACACCAAGTTCTCTTACATACAAACATCAAACAAATCTGACAAGATATTCTCCTCGTGATTGTCCAGCTCATTCTTAAAACAGCACAATGATGAGGAAGCAATTTTCAAAAGCTTTAGGGACATAAATGAGCTAATTGAAGACATGTTAGAGCTGAAGGGAAGATATGCATCAGTAGAAACTGAACTGAAAGAAATGCATGGTCGGTACTCTCAGCTAAGCCTTCAATATGCAGAGGTTGAAGGAGAGAGACAGAAACTCATGATGACTCTCAAGAGTTTAAGGGCAGCCAGAAAGAGCCAACGCTTGATTCGCTCCTCATCTGCTGCCCTAAGCGATCAATCTTGAGCCACAAGAACAAGCCAGCTAAAAATGCCTTGTTTGTGCATCCCAGGAATGACCCCATACAGAAATTAAAGAAGCAAATGCCTTTACCTTCTGCATTGCTAAATTATTTGATTGCAGGTATATCCTAGAGCTATTGAGCTACTGCAAGATACAAAATTTTCAAGCTTAGGGTAGGATGCCAAAAGCTAAGCAAAGCAGCTGTATTTTAATGTAAATAAGTGTGTTTCCCATTTTCCTTTACTGGTTATTAGTATCAAAAGGAATAGATTACTATAGCACTCTAACCCCCGTTTTTCTCCTGTTCTTGGACTGAAATTCTTCTGTCGTATAGTAAATCAAATTCTTTTAAATGATGAAATCATTTTTATTCACAACAAGAAGCAACCACTACAGCCTGGCACCTAATTTCGGTTTGATTTCATCAATTCAATGTTAGTGTTCAAGAAACTAAAGATCCATTTATTCTCAGTTAAATAAAATCATTAAAAAAACCCTCATTCTAAAATTAAAATGTTTTCTGTGAGAGTGAGAGGAAACAAGGATTATATGGAAGTACTAGTGAAGGTAATAAATAAGTCACGCTGATCCATTCATTCTGAAGGTGAAAAAGTTGTATTTTCTCAGAGCAGTCTGATAAAGACAAACAAAATCAATCTCCTACATCCTGGAAGAAATTTTCTGTATACTCTCCATTTTTCTTGCTCGAAACTGAATAAACTTCATACTCAACACTGCTACCTCCTGTTTTCTTTCACGGTTAAAAGAAAATACAGGATTTTTGATTAAGCAGGTCATAAGCTTCCAGTCTTTGCAGCCGCCTGAACTATGTATTTTGGAACATTAAATGTAAAAGAATTTTATCTCAAGAACCAAGAAGAGCACACAGAAGGAAGCAAACATCAACCTAAATAAGTTTTGACAATCTTTTATCACACAGCTATAGGATTGAGCAAGAACAGCTGCTCTTCTTTGGAGAATCATTCTGCGGTTTATCTGTAGAAAAAATTGTCAAGGGTTAGGATTTAGGTAAGGGAATTTGTTTTATTGTGATCAGAAATCTCAGCATGCATGCGCACAAAATGGTTTATAATGTAAATATGTAGCTGAAACCCTTGAGAATTACAGCATATTGATGGAAATAAGAATTGAGGAAACATAATGTCACAAGAAGATAATTTCTGGCATACTAAGCTTGTCATTCACAGTTGTCCAAAGAGATTCTCATGCTGATACAGAATATTAGCTCACATAAAAAATAAATGTGCTCAAAGTCCTGAAAGCAATGCAATAAGCATGCTATTTGTGAAGCTAGAAAGGTTGCATTATGGTAAGATTAGGAAACAAAAGGGAAAATTTAAGCAAACTTTGAACAGAAGGCAGAATATTTCTGGTTTTCTGGAGATGAAAAAACTCAAATGAGAAACAAAGCCAGCCATATGCAATAAGATAAAAAGATAAGATTGTTTGTAAATCCTAAATCAACTGTAGTTAAACTTCATAAGAAACCATCAGACTTTACAGAGTCAGAGAAGATTGGAATTGGAGAACATAACTCGATTAGGAGGTTGCTTATGAATAATTTATTTATTCCTACCACCATAAAGAACTCTAGTTGGTCAGCTGAAATGCATAATGTGCTGCTTTAATCCCCAATTTCCTTTGTTACGAAGTGAATCAGATGTAACATGCGATGAATTACCTTTGTTTTTGTTGGTCATAGGAGGACGAAGAACAACATGCATAGTAATTATGCCTCCTGGAAGTTCACCAACTGGGACTCTACACTCAGCTAGTGTCCTGTTATTCTCAAGAATTTTCCCAGCATTAATCAGCTTCAAATCATGTGTTGTTTTAGGACCATCTTCTTTATCTACCAAATAAAACAGCATTCTATGAGAAATTAATGAAAAAGTCAATCAAATACCGAAAGACACTCATCGTATTAAGCCATTAGGGAAACTAAAATACAAGACTGAGATATTGTTTTTCCTGTTCTGGTGGCAAACTGGCGATGGTGGAAGGGAAATGGAAATAGAAAGGGGAAAATTAGAGATAGAGAGGCAAAAGCTTTGGGTCTCATACTGCTGAAAAGCCAAAGATAAGATTAAGAAACTAAAAGAAAGATGAGAGGAAATTAGAACATAACTATCATCCATACTGCTAGATCAACGTAAAATTCATGAAAAATTAATAAGGTGGAAATTGAAGAAGTTGGACAACCTTTAGGCCACTGAGCAAGAATTTTCTCTTTTAGAGATGCCACTGTAGTAGATGGAGTATACTTGCTAGGACCGATGTCAGTTCCATCTGCAAGCCTGAATTTGATCTCTATCAAATCTTCTGCTGCCATTGATGAATCTCTCATGGAAAACCCACCTCAATTTCTCATGCTAATATGCAAAAACACCAGCCAATTCTGAGTCTGAACTCAGCAGTTCTTCACTACGAAGTACAAATCCTCTTCTGCAATATCCCAGAAGAAACTATTAAGAACCCAGATCATCTTCTGCTAATATTTCCCAGAAAAATCATTTGAGATCAATATCACAGAAGAAACTAATAACAA